GTTGTTACTTGACACAGCGGGACGAGCTGCTGCATGTACAGGACTGCTCATCTGTTCTCAGAGCACCGACGTCTTGCATACTTTTCCCCTCAGGCTGTGAGAGGAGGGGTGGGGGAGGCAGGGACTGTAGGTTGAGCGTTACAGCTGAATGGAATGACTGCAGGTTGTTTCTCACAGTGTTTGACAGATATTTCAGTGCAGCGCAGACAGACAGGTATTGCTATAATAATAGAAGAGCATGCAGCAGTTGTCCCTCTTTTCTCTTCCTCTGTTTATCCATAGTAACACTGACATGTGCATGTGTGTTGGGGGGGAGGAGAGGGATGCACAGCTGAGGTTTTTTACATAAGTTACAAGCTGATTTTCTTATAAGATAGGACCCTTATCTGTTACATTACTTTATTTAAATATGTTTTTTTTTTTTTATTCTTACATTTGACTGGACAAAAAATACAAAATGCTACAGTATGAGATTTTTAATAGTAAAAATTTCTTTCAAGTAATTTAAAATCCTTTGGGCTTAAATGGTTAATAAAATGTTTATTTAAAGCTGCATTCATCATCACCTTGCACTGTAAATATATTATTGTGAACATTTTAACATATTAACATGGACACGAGCAACATTACCATTCATTTTGAGTCTAGTGTCTCAAAAGTCTTTGGGAGCAATACTACACTATAATGCATGAATACAAGTAACTTTTGGATTGCTAGATTATGATCCCACATTTATGTCTCTATGTCCGCCACCTTTGCTGTTTGCTTTGTTCTTTATAATTAATCAGGAAGGACTCTCCCATGGATACTTTGACCCCTTATCTGATCACTGCCAAAATCCATTCGTAATGGCACACTAGCATTGATAGCTGCAGAGTTGATGGTATATTGCAAAGTAGCCTTTACTAATATTAGTAAGCCATTAATAAAGGTTTGTGGAATTTAACAGGTTGTGTATAACTGCTTCTTACATTATATTTTACATATGAACCATTTTAATAGAAACAACCCTCCTGCAAGTATACCTTATTGTAAAGTGTGCTTGGATCTCATCAGTGTTCTCTCTTTCAAGTTGAATCATTGTTTCTCTGACACCTAGTTGCCAAAATAATATTAAACCACCATCAAATTAGGTGTGCTTTCCCCTGAGTATGGGTATGTTGTGAATCCAGTCATGTCTTTTGTTTATAGGGGATCAATGCTGATTCATGTAAAGCTGGCAAAACCTGCTCAACTGAATGACATTGTTCATGAAAAACTTTTTACAATTGTGCATGCAGTGAAGAACATTGTGAAACGTTGTTCTTTCTCTTGAAAGTCAACCTGACATTTATAGCACTGCTTGCATGTAAATACAGCAACCACAAAGTCACCATCAGCATCAGATGCACATATAGAAAACCAGAACAAACAACAAGAGTGTGACTAGGACAGTGTCTTTACATCTCTATAAGTCCAGATGTAATTGTGAAAATGCATTTCCCACACACACCTTAAAAGGTTAGCTGCTGGTGGGTTTTCACTCATCAAGATGTAGAGTGTGAACAACTGTGGGTTCAAAGGCTGCACATGAACTAGTACAATAGGCTGAAGAAGCCCTGCAGCAGACACTCCAGCCACTTGAAGCATGAGGATATTTATAGACTGTTCAGGAGCCTCCATCATATCTACAGTACTCTACCATGGATTCTCACTATACGGCTACGTGCGGTGTACAAAGGAAAATCAGAAACAGCAGCATCTGAAACATGCGCAGACAAGCACGCTGTTGTCATCGCCGTGAATCATAACAAATCCAAATCCAAAAAGCCATGTGAACAGTCAAACAGCTGGAGTGAGCCGTGACTGTGTAGGCTCTAGTGTACGTCTTTCTTTGCATTCCCCCGTGCTGTATGGGGGAGGCCTCTGGCTGTAACTGATTCACCTGAGTGACTGATTAACTGGTCTACAGGTTTGGTGCAGGTTGAGTCACAGGCTGACTGGTTGAGTGGCGTGTTGCCAGTCAAATGTAAGCTGGTCCACTGTTAGGCCGGCTGGTGAGCTGGCTGTGACACAGAGTTCCATCATAGCGGACTAAACAGGAAACCGGTTGTGGGAGGGTGCTCACCTTTGACAGTCCTTGTGTCACAGGACAGACTCTGTTGTGAAACACTCACTGGAAAACACACCAGTTCAGCACCGGGTTATATTTTTGCAAGCTCAGATGGCTAAAACAAATCATTATTTTTTTCCTAATGACAGTAGCTTGCCACCTTTTGTTTTGATGTGCAGGAGAGTTGTAATTAACTGAAAACAATACTTCAAAAACATGCCATGTGTGCAGTTTCCAAGCCTGTTACCACATGTATCATTAAGCTAAAAGTCAAGGCATTCAGTGTGAATAAAGACGACAAGTGAACTACAAAATAAAAATGTCCAATAAGATTGTTGCCTCTGACAAATTACTTGTCATTGATGAGACAAGTCTGGTTGAGTGTAAATGCACGCTTGAATGCACACACACAGAGAAACACACACACACACACACACACCCAAGCAAGTCTCAGCAGGAGCCAGGGCACAAAAGGAAAATATGAACACCCGAACATCTGTGCCTGTGACAAAGTTGACTGACAGACGCGAACACCCAAGAAAAATGTTGTTAACACTTTGATTTACATTTAAAATCAAAACCATGGAAAAGATTTAATGACTTTGAAACTGTTGTTTATTCAAGTTTACACAGTCAATACCGGGTCTACAACAATCATTCAAATATGTATTTATCTTTCTGTTATTTTTTTTATTAATTGGTGAATCATTTGGTCTATAGGTCAGAAAATAGAAAAAAGTGACCATAATTTCCAAAAGCAGATGTCTTATTTTGTCTGACCCCCCCCAATATTCAGTTTATAATGATATAAAACAGAAAAGCACACTGGAGAAGCTGGAACAAGGGAGTGTCTGCCATTTTTTCTTGAGCTATTAATAGATTATGAAAACAAGTGGCAGATTATTTGACTAAACTGTCATTTAAGTTCTAGATAACACAATGAATTCAGGTGCGTTGGCAGAAGAAGATCAACAATGAAGGTGCCAGATATGCAGCTATCGAAATCAAATGTGCAGAATCATTTAAAATGTCATAAATAAAGAAACATCAACACATTGTTCTGCCCTCGTCAGTGTATCCGGCCTCCTGCTTCATGGGAACACATCTTTAATAACTGCCAATAAAATATTAAACATATTGTGTCTGCCTATCATGTGCCATACACAACCTTTTGTTTTCCTGCTGTGGTCCCCGGTCTAATGCCACTCTACTTGTGCTCAGTTAGGGTTAGGCTGGTTTATTGGCTCTTAAACCAGCACCTACATATGGGGATTCTGATGATCTATATGTATATGTTGCTGTGTTGTAATGTCTGTGAAACAAACCTCCCTCTAGCACAATAAATCTCGCATAGTGTAGCCTACATGTTGGATGCTCAGTAGAAGCACACACTGCGCGCTCTGGCAAAACAATGGTAACGTGGTTGGTTCACAGTTTAGTGACACATCAACCACAGACCGAGTTTACTGAAGAAAACTCACAGTGAAACTCAGATGAGCTGGTTTACATCCAACACACGGACTGTGTTTCACCTGTGCACTTTACCTGGAAAGGGGCTGTGCACGGCGCCCGGAGGGTACAACCACGTTGGCACGCGCCCCTGAGCAGCAGTGTGTGTTGCGTTCACTGTCTGACTGTCAACCAACATGAAGCAGAAGTTCAGATGCGAGGATGGGTGTTGTTTGGGCGGGTGGGCACATGCAGTAAAACATAAAGGAACCCCTGCCACCTTTGATACCACACAGTGCCGGGGTATTATTTGTGGTGTGGCTGTTTGCAGCAGTCCCCTCGGCACCCTGTGACCTCCCCCGAGCTGCAGTATGACAGCTAAAATTGGGCAATCCCCTAAGCAAGTGCACTGACAGCACTTACCCTCTGCTCTCTCAGCCACACACACACACACACACACACACACACATCATGTGCTAAAACTCTCACCATCCATTAAAGTGAACACCCTGGAGTGTCATGTCAACCCCTATAACGTCCGGTTGAATTCAGGCACACTGGAGACCAAATGCTGGGATACTTAGATATTCTGTTTGTGAATTACTGATGTAGCTGTATAGATTATTGGCTCTGTTTATGTAGAGAAAATGCCAATAGATCAAGAATGGCACATAAAATGAAAACCTGGTCCTTTTCTGCATGTTTACAAGCTGTTGGTTTAGGCTATTAAGAGATTTGTACATTTAAAGGTGGGCAAACTGAAGGGGTGAAATCAAATCTGTGTACTTAAGCTTATACAATTTGACCCCCGACCCCCCCCCAGTCAGGATTTAGGTACATATCCGCTGCTTTGACACTTGTCCTTAAGCTGCGCCAGCGACCCTGCGAGTTGGCGCGTTTCCCCTCAGTGTGTCTGCGGTGGTTAAGTGTTTGTAAGGCAGCCTAAACGCATATCCTACTACTGCTTAGTCTAGCTTTCGCCTGCTATTATTAGATTAGGATATCCTATAATCTTAGATAAGACAGACAAGTTACAGTGTGGCAGCATGTGCCCCTCTCAACCCCACGGGTTGCCCAATCCAATTCCCGCAACCGGCCCGAGCTCCGTGGAAAAAACATAAGAATCCTGTGGGACAAAGCTGCGCACAAACAATCCAATAAGTCACAACAGCGGCTTACTTGCGCTTCAGACTCACCGGGAGTTGTCGGGATCTACATCAGAAACCGCTGAGACCGCTCCTGCCGTTGTTTTCCTGGTCTTAAATCCGGCTCGACGCTTTTTGTGCTCCACCTGTAACGTTCACTCCACATCTAACTCCTGCAGGGAGCGATTATCTGGCAGCTCTCAGCGGTAGGCAGTGCCTGGTCATGTGACTTTTGATTGTACCTTTCCTCACTCACTTCGCAACCGGTCAGCTGTGTAACAGCAAAACAATACCCAATGTCCCCTCGGTTTGGACCACTTTTGTTCTTATTTCTTTTATTTTGACGTGTGTTCAGCCCACGTTGATATTCAAAATGAACTTGTGATATTGTGACAATATAGCAACCTATCAATGTTGTATAGCCTACTAACAATCAGGATTATTACAAACTGTACAGAAGGAAAAAAACAGTACCTTGTGATTTTATATAAACTCTAACAACAAGAACGGTTGATTAAAAAAAAAAACTTTTTAAGTCCCATAATTACATAATTCATATTAGAAATAGCTATTTGCCATTTTTTCTTAATTGCTACAACACAACTGCTGCCAACATGTTTACATATGATCAGGTGTTATATCCTACAGTAAAGAAAAAAGAGAATTTTAATTTATCCACTGACAGCGTCCACCACCTGCCATCTAGTGGCTGATAAAAGCTATTTTACAAGAAATGCCCAAGAAGAAACACATAACATAAGAAAAAGAATAAGATTTTTTTTTTAAATTCAGTTTTCAGTAAAGCTAAAATACATAAACTAGAATAAAAAAACACAATATTCAACAATACATTCAATTCCAGTGCAGTGAGAATTGTCACAATTGTTGGAGTTGAGTCTTTGTGAGGTCTCTGACTTCTTCATTATTTATGTCTCCGTTTGCCTTCATCGTATCTCTTGCCGGGACTCGGGTTCCGGAGGTTCTGACTGGAGGCTTTCAGGTTATCCACCGGCATCCCTGGACGAGGAGAGGGCTGCTTGTTGGCCAAAGGACGAGTGTTTGCATAGATTGGATCTTCTGCGTCTATCAAAAAAAAAAAAGTAAAAACAGTAGTCATTTCTCTTGTTAGGTTGAAAACCCCCCATTAAGTTCATTTATTAACCATTATATGACACCACTAGCTTGTCGGACACATTGAACAGAATCTGAAATGTGATTTGTTGTAGTATTGTTTGTTTGTTTGACCAAATCTCCCTTTAGATAAACAATTATGATAAATAAAATGGGTTTTGGAGACAGAATAAATGAATGATAATTAAAGTTTAATTAAAATACTGTTTCACCCTTTAAACTTTGATGTGTTTTGACTGGAATATGTTTGTGAAAATGAGAGATAAGATAAGTTAGATAACACTTTCTTGATCCCACTGAGGGGAAATGTGCAGTGTTACAGAAGCGAAGAGGACAGTGAACAGCAGAAGCATAAAAAAGCAGCAACAGCAAGATATAGACAACAAGGGAGAATAAGAAACCAAATATCTGGGTCAGTGTTAGTTGATGAAAGTGTAAATTGGGAAATATATATTTTGCAATAAATTGTTATGCATTGGGGAAAAAAAGCCACATAAATTAAACATCCTGTGATTTTATATATGTAATATTTCTAGTTAAATTAACACTGCCGTGCACGTACCTTGGGTTGAATTATCTACTGTCATTACATCCAGTGTTCAAGAATTCAAACTAGCACAGATTGCTCTTATCAACTTATAATATTTCTAAATGATTCACAGATTTGGTTTATGAACTCAATAAATGCTGTTAGTTAAGGATGAAGAAGCTTCCTTTGTAACTAAAAGTCTATAATGTATACACATATGTGAAGTAAATATATCAAGTAAACTATTAAAATTAAAATAAATATTGAATGATGACTCATCCTTTAATTCACTAAAATTTAAAATAAACCTACTGTCTGACCTTACTGGAAACCCCTAACACTCTGTGCTGCAAAAAGCCATCAGTCACTCAAAATGAATGACTCAAAAGTAAATTAATTAATCATCAATGTCATGAAAATGAAATTTCTCTTTCTAGTCAAGATGGTGAAATGTCAAAGAACTGTATTGATATGAGCCTATAAGTTCACTGAGAGATTACAAACAGCAAACCAGTTGAAGAGCATCCATCAAACAAACATCTGTTTCAACAAAAAGTCCACATGCCGCAAAACTGCAATCGATAGCCTGCAACTCAACCTGCCTTTATTTGGAACAGGCATCTATATGGGACAGATGTTTAATTCCCTTTGCACAATACTATCAGATTGTTTATTTAAACCAGTATTATGAATCATTCATGTGATCATTAGATACGTTGGTGCTTGTGGTTTCCTTAAATTGAACTGAGCGACTGAACTGTGGAGAATCTAACACTGTGTAGGAAGTCCGTATTGACAAAAGTTTAAACAGTCATGTTTGTTTAGGCGATCCAAGCAGCTCAGAAAATGCTCAAGCAGGCGACCCGGATGGCTTTAAGAGGTTTTATGCAGCCAAACAATTTCTATAAGAACCAGACCAGACATCTAACTAGTAAAGGAGACCTGAGTCTAATTGTGACCCTGCTTTTAATTTAAGTTTTACAGTATACAAGCTTCTCACGGTCCGTGTACACCTTTCTGTAACAGTAATATAAAACACACGAAACAAAATACAGAAGAAATCTTATCGTCATGCTCACAATACACAAGAAATATTGTAGCTTGCCGTAACCATTCTCTGTATATATATATAGGCAACATGTCATCTCTGTCCTACTCCTAAATAACTGCTACATCCTCTCCAACAGGCCAACTCACTTCCACATATTTCCACCTGCGTGAGAGGCCCCCTCTGTGATGTTACTACTTCACTAACATAAAACTAGGTAACTAGGCTGTTGAATTTCAAGAGTCTTTATGACATTTTAGGATCAGTGAAATTATGATACACGTATGTATGTTGCACGATGATAAAGATCATTACAAACGCAGTGTAACCCGCTATGATCACCAAGACTTATAGAGTGCGTAACTGCTTCAATTGAAGATAAGTTTACATTTGAATTCTCTTAGAGCAACAATTAATGATTATTTTCTTTATCAGTCAATCTGCTCTTTAATTACTTGATGATTGGATTAATTGTTCAGCGTATAAAATGTTGAAAAATGACCTGTTGACGTTTTCTAATGTCTTTTAGTGTCGGACCAATAAACAGTCCAATGCCCAAACATATTCAGTTTGTTTCTGTTTAGTAAGAATCTTTATATAAATGTATTTTCTGTGTGAATTTTATACTGTAGCTGCTTTACCGCAAGTAAAACTGTCTTTATGACTGTCAGAGCAAACAAACAAATGGTGACTGGTGGAGTGTGGGTGGATTTCTTTCCAGCTTTGCATGAATTACTACTGCAAATATCTGGTATTTTTCTCAGTATGGATCAGTCGGCTGTGATCAAATCTCACTGTCTTCATCGTGCCCTGAAAAATGAGTTACTTGTCTTTTGAGGCTGTTGGTCTTTCACCAGTCTTAGTTAGCCTCATCTGTCCTACTTTGAAACTACAGATTGTCTCATGATATGCTGTTGAACCACACAAACCACCTGCTTACTCAGTTTGCATCCACCGGCCACGAGGTGGGCAGATATAACTACCTGCTTTTATGCAAACAGTGTTTCCTTTCTTTCTTTTGTTCTGTCACTCACACACACGCACACAAGCAGCCTGTCCCTCATTTCTTCTGTTTAATGCAAAAATGAAAAATATTAAATATTCATTCAGAGCATTTTTGAACTGACTTGGTAAGAGCAGCTTTCATCCAAGCCGTGTCTACAGTCGACACAGAGCTTATCTACAATCTACAGCTGTCTTTTACTTTTGTGTCTTTGGTGTCTTGATTATCTAAAATTTCCGACTCAAAAGGAAGACTGGTACCTCTGCTTCTGCAACATCTTCTTCTCAACAAGACACAAAGGATCACCAGGACGATCAGGATGAAAGCAGACACCCCCAACAAGATCCACGGCCACAATTTGTCTTCGTCTTCTGGAAATGCTGCAAGAGAAAAAACTTTGTCTTGAAATGTGATCACAGTTTATTAGAGTGAATATATGTGTGCACACGATATTCCATTTGTTAAACATATCATTATCACAATTTTACTTAATTCCAAGTACATCAAGCTTGACTTGTTGAGTAGTTCCTATACAAAACGTCCCCTCAGGTAACCTGAGTTTGATATGTGATAAGATCCGTTCTGTGGACCTCTCACCCCTGTGGTTTCATCACCTCTATAAGTGAAAAAATTATATCTGTCAACCTCTGTCAACTTAATGCAACATTCAGTAGAAAGTCAGTGCTCATGACCACCAGAAATACATGCAACTCATCCTGTGCTGGGTCCTAAAAATACATGGTACATTATTATTCATGGAAGCTAGGTACTGGTATGTATAGAGATACACACACACAAGCACGCACACATACACGCACGCACACATACATGCACACACACCTTGTTTATCCGTAACTATGGGTATTGACGGGTACGTTGTAGGTTCCCCAATCTTCGCTGTCATGAAGGAAACAAAATGATACTTTAAGAGTCATTCCTTTAGTCAAGTACAAGTATATATCGATCCCTTCATGATATATTGTTTCATCACAATAGGCTTTATGGCAACACTTTACTTTATGTACACTTTTTTGCATCTATAAGCGCCATACAAACATGTAATAAATGGTTTATAAGCCACTATAATGTAGTTATAAGCAAATATTTATTAATGTATTTATCAACATATAACTCCTCCAGTGGGCAGCCATGAGTGGAAGTGATAAAATACTAGATAAGATACTAGATAATTACAGTTGTAATAATATCACATATGTCTTCATATAAGAAGTTATAATTGTGGATAAATATGGTGCATTAATAAACACTTAAAACAACTACATTATCATTAGTGCATTATAAAACAGGGGTTGCCAAACTTTTTCACGTCAAAGACCCCGACAAAAAAATGCACATTTGACCCTGGACACCCAATTTAAGAGGATTTTAAGAAATCCCCTCTGAGAATTGATTTTAAAGTTTGAAGTCTTCATAGTCAATCAGTGATCAACTGCAAGCATTATACATGATATAAATGTTATAAGTTATTATATAATTAAAAACGGTCAGTCTATCCAAAAAATGGGATTTAAGGTCAAATACTGTATTCCTCCTTTTGCTGGGGACCCCTTAAAACCCCACTCCCAGGAGGAAAAACTTCCTTTATAAACCATTTAGTAAATGTTTGTATGCTGGTTATCAATGTTAAGTAGGGCAACTTAAAGTGCAGTGTTACTGGCTTTATGAGGTACAAGTAATACTTACTTATAATTACTTCTGTTTTATTGCTGGTCAAGTGTTTATTGAAAGGAATCTCCTCTGTAACTTCGCAATAGTACCATCCGCTGTGGTTTTTTGTAGCACTTGAAGTGTGACTCAACAACAGGTCTTGGCCATCACCCTTCTGTTTAGACACCATGGTGGAGTTTGCAAATTTGTCAATGATCTTGACAGAAATATTTCCTTTTTCATTCGATGAAGATCCCAAAGGGTAAAAATACCAAAATACCCGGAATCTGTCAAATCCGCTTGTATCCAAACTGCAGTTCAAATCCAGAGGGGAACCAAAAGGAACTTCCACTCTTTTTTGTTTCCCATCCAGATTCACAGAAGCTTGACCTGATATCCTCGTGGCTGCTACAGCTACTGTAGATAGATAGATAGATAGATAGATAGATAGATAGATAGATAGATAGATAGATAGATAGATAGATAGATAGATAGATAGATAGATAGATAGATAGATAGATAGATATCAGTTAGCCAGTTTCAAAAGTCTACAAACAGGCAAATGTGTTTCATTCTACAGGTGTAATTCATTATCTATTAAACAGCCTCAAGCACTCTATTGCATTGTTTTTTGTAGCGTATTGTCTGTTTTGATCTTACCTGTGAGGAACACCAGAGTTGTCTGTCTCAGCCACATTTCCATTGTATTATGTGAGAGGTGGTCTTCTGCTCAGACTCATCCTGTCTCTGCTGCCTGCCTGTCTGCAAATATGTCAGTAGTAAGCTCAAAAACGTATGTGTGTGTGTGTGTGTGTGTGTGTGTGTGTGTGTGTGTGTGGGTGGGTGGGTGGGTGGGTGGGAGGAAGAGTTTTTTGTCTCACCGTACTGTGAGAGTAAGTTGCTGTTACTGAATTGTGGAGGTTGCACAAACAACACTTGAGGATGGAAAATGGTGTAGGCTTTATAAAAGAAAGATTCCTGACCAGACACTAATGCACAGTTGTTTCATTTGCTTTTAATCAGAAGACATCAAAGCGGCAGGCTGCTGCAAACTCACTGCTAAAAATGTATATCCTGCTGCCGTCACACTTCTGTAGAATGGTGTCAGACAATTAACCCCTCAGGGAGATAAATATGCATGCGCTGACTTGCTGAATGCCATCAAATATAAAACAGGGCACACAACGATGATACGAGGGGTTTGTGAAACCCTTGTGGGTTTTGGTGCAAGGGTGCTAAAACGCAGTTCACCGTGTCCCGCAGTGTCTTACTAGAAAAGGAGTGCTAGGCTTCCTGTGAGAAGACACAACTTAAGTATGCTGAGGTAAATGAACTTTCTGATTCAATCTCCAGCCACAACCTACAAAATAATTGCAGGAGAGACAACAGAGATGAGTGCTGATAAAATAATATTCATCTCGAAGGAGAGTTTCATGCAGGTGATCTGAAATGTCTACAGAAATACAGTTAAGATCTGAAATATATGTAGCACTGATTTACTGTGATATATGAACTGGTTTTTAATTAACTTTAAGTCAAAGGATGCAGCATCTAAATAAGTGTATGTGTTATCTCCATATGTGAGTGAAAAATTAAGAAAAAAAGGCCACAAGAAGAAACATCTGAAGTTTACAGGGGGCGTATAACTTCAGAAACCTCAACCCTAAGAACTCTTCACAGAGAGGCTGAAAGAAGTTCCTGCCTGTAATGTAGTGAATTTGTTTAGTAGACAGTTTGCATAGATGTGAGTGGGAGCTGTGGCTGAAATATAACCAATCTATATTTTCAGTTAAATGGAAAATAGGCTACTACAAATTTCCTCTATTATGTAAAATAGGATATACGGTATATACTATATTACATATAAGTTAACGTTCATTCGACTTAACTAGCTGCATATTACATATGTATTACATTTTACTTTTTATCAAGAGTTTACTGTAAAATGTGCTAGTTATACATATACATGTACAGTGTGACTCTGATATTGGATCTCATCAATAAAAAAGGATTATACATTTTTATTATACTGATTATACTTTACTTTTTATTCTACAGTGTTATGCTAATAAAGACAAACACAATATTATGTAATTCTGTTTGTCTTAAAACATTTTGCTAACAGTGATGTGGATCCAACACACACTTTCAGAAATATGTAAGATCAGAAATTGAGTCTGACAGGTCATGTTAAATGTTAAAGGGATATTTGTGTCATGTGCTGATAAAGGCGATGGCAGGAAAGGGACAGCCAGGAACCTTAAATACTTGCCAAGGTGATGTATCAAGGACAAATGCTGAATTATTGCTACATAATGCTGTAAATCCTATTTATTTCCTTTTTTATTCAAACTCTACCTGGACAAGCAAATACATTCATTTTCTCAAGGGTTAAAGAGACAGAAGAATACATATGTTCACTGTGTGTGAGGTTTTTTAAATAATTATATTAGCTACTGCTTTCTGGGATTTGCTCCACTATAGTACAATAATTGGATTTGGTAATATTACATAATTCTGCATTATGTGAAGAGGCCTTGCTTTTTTATCCACAGGTCCACCAGTTTTAACCATCATGTTTCTACAGTAGCCCAGAATGGACACACTAAGCACTGGCTCTAGTGTGTTTATCTAAGTCTGTTGTTTAGTGTTAAGTCTTTAGGTGCACACCTATTTATTTATATTTACAATACCCATAACTATTGATGCTTAGCTTCTCGATCACATGCTAGTCTGCACTGTAACTGTAATATGAGTGTATTGGTTCAGACAAGCTATCTGTACATATGTGACATAAAAATATGTTGAATGCCATTTAAATGGATTTGTTTTCCTACTTTAATATTTGCTTTTCATGTTCTTCACTTCAGATAGCAGCAGTATCAGTACACATGAACATATTGTCAGAGGTGATAAATATTCATACCCCCGTTTAGAAGGCTAGTGACTGAAAACTGTATTTTCTCTGACTATAGGTAGAGTGAATGGAAAGCACGTGTCATTTTCAAGATAGAAGGTTCATCTTAGGCTTATGACGCTTATGATGAATATGGGAAGAAATGATTTCTGCTGAGAATGTGTAACTTTTTGTTTTTTTGTGGGGGATGTTGTGGGTGATATTTTAGAACAGAATGGCATCAAGCACTAGAATCTAGTTTAGCCACTTTCCCTTTGTTCCAGGATACTCTGTGACAATCTTTACACTTGTGTGACTATTTATGTAATTGTAGTGCCTTAATATTGGCATTTAGATCATTTTGACAGAAACATTGTCCCCAAAATAAGGAAATAATAGTGGAAAAAAGATAACAAACATTATGAGTGCTGGACCTGGCTCCTGGCCTCTTTGCTTTTCTCCAGCAGTCCCTGAAGGCAGCCTTACTCAACCTTTACAACAGAAACATCAGTACCCAGAATCCTCCTCTGCCGCATGCGCTGTACGCACTACGGCCCAAAGGCGTTGGTGGTTGGTGTCCGTACGAAGATGCGTTGCACTCCGGCAGCAGCATCAGTACCAGCTCCGCCGTGCTAATAAACCAAAAAAACCGGGGCACGGAGGAGAAATACCGGCGGGGTCTGCGGCTCGAGCGGCGCCGGAGCATCGGAGCGGCGAGATGGGAGACCAGAAGGTGAGCCGGAGCCCGAGGAACAGGTGTCTCTGATGGGGGGAAGCCGTTTCAGGGCGTAGTGTACAAAGGAAGGAGGGGGACGAGCTGCGGAATTGGGGGAGTTTGCGGATGCGGTACGGGCTCGTGTTTCCCAGAGAGATTTTTCTAAGTGAATCGGTGTTCGTCCGGTTGAAGGTGAGCTCTATCTTGTGCACGACATCGATGACTTTGATATCGATGTATCGGCCGTTACAGGCAGGGACAGCGGGGGCCTTGGCGCAGCTCCTCTCGCATCAACAAACATTACACAGTCCGTCAGTATGAATGGGCTTCACTGTGGGGACACAACATAACGAGAGTGGCCACATATCAAAGCTGTGATCCGTGTAATAATCGACCCAGTGTGCGTCCAGTCCCTTTTTAAGTCGGCTGTTCAATGGTTGTGGAGCTGCATTATTAAATTATGAATGCGCATCCTTCCGCCCGTGAAGTGTCCTCCCCCCCTCCCTGTGCACTGGGGCTAGGTCCCTCTCTGATCCAATCTGGAGAACACATGTTTATTCATGTTTAGAAAGGGAGCTCAAAGCCTACAGCTCCTTGTGTCCTTTCCAAACAAAACACCGGCGAGCACAACTGCAACCACAGAGGATGTGGAGTGAGCAAGGTGCAGTGTTTGGTTAGAAACCTGCAGTCATTCAGCCCTCTGTGCTACAGGCTTTGATGGAGAATAATCAGCTGTATGGGCTTTATAAGGATCAGATTTAGTGTCAGGTTGTGTCTTTCTCATCAGGAATCTCTGCGTAAGATCACCCACACGCTGGCCATGAAGAATGAGGAGATCTCAAACTTTGTCTGCACTCTCAAGCAGAGCCTTGACAACCTAGAGGTACAGAAAACCTACACGGATCAATCAAAATTTAATCTCCGGCTGCACACAGTTTGGTTTCCTCTGTCAGGGTGTTCAGGTTACTTCCTGTGTTTACTCATTTTTTTTTGCTGGGACACCAGGCGAACTCCGGTCGAGTGCAGGAGGACCTGGAGTCTGAGTTCACCTCCCTCCACTCTGTTCTGGATGAGATGAAGGAAAACATGATGACTCGCATCAAACAGGAGAGAGCCAGCCGCACGTATGAGCTACAGGTATCTGCTGCTGTCTTTACACGTCTTTCTTTTTTGTTTTTAGTAAGAATATTTGAGCTCATGAGAGAAACTTTTTACGTGTGGAAAAGAACGTTTTTTTTCTTTCTTACCATTTCCCGATCACCAGATGAATGATGCATTTTTTTGCTTTGAAGTTACAACATTTACCAAAAAACTGCCACGTGACCTTTTCAGTGTATGACTAAAAACTAAAACGGTGTTCTCGAACTGAGAACCTGACTCTGTGGAGGAAACTTTAAATGTCAGGAACTTTGCTTCGAGCTTGAACAGTACGATACATGATGAGTGTGGGAATTATGTTTTTTGCAGAACAAATTCAATTTTCACTGGAAAAACTGTCTAGGGGATCTGTACCGAATAAACATGATTGATTTGTGGACCAGAGCCTCTCTGCAGAGCTACAGTACTTCATTATAATGCTGTTTGGTCTCACATTTTACCTTCATCCAAACATTTGCAGCTTCTGTGATTTGTATATGGCACGTGGACATATTTTAAACAAATAATATTACATTTAAAGGAACAAATAAACAAATACTTTAGATAACAAAAGGAGTGTTTAGATGCTGGAGATATCTAGAGAGATATTATTATATTTTTCTTTGCTTTTAAAGTTCTGTCACCAAACAGCAGATTTTGAGTTGATTTTCAGTTTTTCTTTACAGCAATCATTCCATTATACCCAGGTCAAAATACCACAGATTGTGTACTTCTCAAAGTCCTCCGTTTATGTCTTTACTGCATGCATCAAAAGCTCTGCAGCCTCAGGACCAAGCCATGACTCTCAAATGATGCAGCAAAACTCCATAGCCTCTGCAGGGAACACAGTAGTCCCATTGTTACTAAAGAAAAACGTGTAAAAGTCTGCAGATGTGACTCTATTTGACTGTGGTTCTGTATTTTTCTCAGAGTCAGCTGAGCGCCTGTTCCAAAGCCCTGGAGAGTTCGGAGGAGCTGCTGGAGCTGGCCAACCAGACGCTGTGCTCCTCCGAGACGGACGGTTTCACTCAGGTAACTGACCCACTGCACT